AGAATAGAATAGAATTAAAAGTTTTGTGGTCAAAATAATATTGAAGAAATTTGGTGATGTGATAGCAAGTAAATAAAAAATGATTTGTTACCACGTATTTCCGGTATAATCCAATCAGCACACATGTTGAAAATAATGCGAACCAATCAGAGTTCAAAGGTAAAAATACCATTCAATCAACAGGCATAATTTTATCAGGTGATAGAAATGTATCAACCAATTAGCAACATCCAGGCAACATTATGAAATAAAGAAAGGAATAATGCGTTAATGTTTGTTTTCGTTTTTTCATCACCAGTTCACTCTTTTCATCACACATTTATAGTCTGAGACAAAAAAAAAATAGCTAAATGTTTTGAGTAAAAAGTGAAAACTGACTCAAATTGTGTCTGTTGGCTCCAACATTAGGGGTTCATTTCCAGAAATTTTGAAGAATATAAGAAAAAAGTGCAGAAAAATTTGGGCGAGAAAGTATGGTAGTGAAAAGGTTAATGGTTGCCATACAGAAAATGCTCTGTTTTCTCCAGCATAATATGCTCTGATGTTTACCCTTTAAATGCTTTTATTTGCCTGGCATATAATACTGAAATGGTTTCCCCAGAATAAAATCCAATTGTGCTCCCATGGGATAGAATGCTTACCACAAGGATAAAATTACCTTCATTATTCAACTGCCATAAAGCAACATGTAGTCATCACACGATGCTAAATTGCTTACCCGTTTTCGAAAATGTTCCTTCTTTTCTCTAACATAACGTAAACTTTCTTCAGCATCTTTTAATCCTGGATTTAATGTTAATACTTTCTCATACAGTGTTATAGCTTCACTCATGTCATCTTTGTCTTCAAATCTAATAAGTAACATAAATGTATACATGTACAAGTGTGACATTACAATGTAAAACTAACTCAGTGAAAACCTAACATCTGACCAAGTTATTCCTTCATTTCATATTTTTTGCAATCAAAAACTGTTCTTTGATTATATTTTAAGAAAAAATATGTAATAAAAATGAAATTGCTCTTTGTCCAATTTGCTTGTAAATTGCTTAGTGTAAATGGCAATAAAGACCACAGGCTTGGAAGCATTCCATCAAGTTTTTACAGTTATGGTCGTGCCATTGAAAGATATGTGCAAGTATACGATTGTAAACCACAGTTGTGGTCAGCATCTCTTTATTGCTTGATTTCAAAGTCGAAGTGTGTTTACAAGTTACTGTGGTTGATGCCATGCAGACCAGTCAGGAACAGTGTTGAACACGAATTACACACTTACTGTTTTGCCTTTGCCATCAATGTTTGACACAGGTACTTTCTTGCATTCCTATGCATTGAAGATAACTTCAAGGCTCCTTCAAAATCTTCAATAGCTTTGTCTAGACTATCCCTATTAGCAAATCTAGAAAACAGAAACACAAAAAACAAGGTCCTATAATGTCCAGTATATATACCAAATTTCAACAAAATCCATCTGTAAACAGCCGAGAAATGCTTGATTTTGATGATTTTTTAGCACAAAAATGGCCACCATTCAGCCATTTTTAATAGGATCGTCAAACCAATATATCTGTATATCTATGATATAATGTATAATGAATATTTAAAATTTGAACATAACCAGTCACAGCAAGTCAGAGTTAAAATGTATGATACTAGAACCATATTTAATGAAACAAAATGGCCGCCAGTCGGCCATTTTGAATCTTGTCTGAAAACAAAATGATGTGCATCAAGGTCCTATAATGTCCAACATATATACCAAGTTTGAACAAAATCCATTTGTAAACAGCCGAGAAATGCTTGATATCGATGATTTTTAGAAGAAAAATGCCTGCCATTCGGCCATCTTGAATTAGATCGTTTAATATCATGTATGATATATGTGTGAAGTTTGATTGTGATTGGTCCAGGCATTTCTAAGATACATGTCCGGACGCACACACACACACACGGAAGCACTGAGGTCAAAACATAAGTCCCTATTTTCGGACTGCATCCGAACGGGACTAAAAAATAGTCTGGCTCTATGTATTAAACTACTGTAAAATACTTTATTATAGCTGGAATAGATTTTTTCGCTGAAAAGACTCTTTTGGTATTTTGTATGGAATTTATTTTCACTGAATGCAAAATATTTTCACTGAATCATTCCTTCAGCGAAAACAGCGAAAATTGATTCCAACAAAAACAGTCAATCATTGAAGTAAATCTTGTCTTGGGTGAAAGGTTCACAATCTGGTTTGCATTGCATTTTGAGTCAAGAATGTGATCTTCACAGCTCAGTCGCGTCAATGGCAACAATTATCCTCTCGGTAACTTGATTGTGTTCATTCTCTTAATTCAAATTTGTTCAAGCATGCACACGTCTTTCTGTGTGTAATACAAAATGACGGAAATGTTGCAGTCAGACCATGACATTACAAAAATCACCACAGATGGATCTGATGGTCGTGCAGCCTTGATAATATCACACAATAGCGTGCCTTTATTAAGAAATGTGGATATCACATACATGCAAAGTTGAAACAATTTTAAATTAGTACATGTATATCCACATGATAAAAAATAAATTAAGAGTTTTTACAGTAGTGACATGACACAAATGTCATAGCCCCCGCTCAGACAAAATATAATCAAAGTTAAACTGTAATTAGCTCCCGTGTGATCAGAGCATGTATTATAAAGGTATAGGCTTTGTCTAATAAGTGAATGTAATTGCATGTAGGTCAATCCATCAATAAAATTGATCAAGATGTCTGAGAATCTATGACATACTGTATATGGAAACACATGCAAGGACACTATACTTGTAAACAAAGGGCACTAATGAGGCACTCTAATGAGGCATGAGGTATTTCTAGAGGTCGGGGTTTGTCTAGCCTGCAGTTGAATAATTTTTGCTTTGATTTTCCTATGGGATTTTAACCCAATGCGACTTAATTTCACTTGTTTTTTTAATTCTTAGTAGTAAAAACTGCAATTAACCTCAGTGCAGCAAATCAGGATAGATCTTCCTGACGCAATAAGCAAATTTCGCTATTTTTGCTGACAAGTAAAAACTGCTAAATTAAACCTACGTGAACATGTAAAGTAACAACAGATTGTTTCCTTGACAGATTCTTGAAATTAAATCATCAAAATAGTACAACTAAAAATCTGTATAACATACCTAGAACATCGTAGTTTAATGTTCGTCCGGACTTTGAGCCCTTGAAAGTAAGTGATCCAGTCCTTACATACGCTAACGATTGAAATTTGTTTAATGAGTGCATTTTTGTTTGAAAATATCAATATAAAATAGGAATCAACTGCTTCGTTTTATTTGAGTAAGATGGAAACCATGCGAAAACAAATGTGAAACATTACTGTATGCTCGAGGAGAAGACACTGGGAGTCGTGTGCAAAGAGATTGTTTACAAATTAGATCACATTGGAAGTGCTTTCAGTCACGGTGTGTAGCGTTGTGTCTGCCTTATACATGGATTAAATGTAGATGCGGGGATTCAGCTTTCCTTTTCTCTGCTCATGGTGTCGCAATAGCGGTGAAGGTCAGTACTGGGTTGAACCGACAGCCATGACCACTATATTTTGAATGATCATAAATAATTTTTGAACCCAATAGTAGTGATCATTGTGATTATTATATAAATTTCTTGCAAAGTCTGGAACGATACTAAAAAAAAATCGTTGATTTCCTTCTATATTCATGCTTGAAAGTAGGCCGAAGTATCCGCAGGTGAATACGAGTATCCAGATAATAAGTTAGGATCGATCAGTTCACACGAATTGTTCTGTTCTGATTCATCATTGCAAAACAATGGCCTGGAAACGCCCCAGCTTGAGGGAAACAGTATCGTGGAAAGAAAGAACAGTATCGGACCCGATACCCTTAAAAGACCTGATGAGAACACTGCAGAATCGTGGGCGAAACGAAAATTACGCGGCTATTGTCTGAGCGACGCAGGCCCGAGGAGAACACTGTACATGTAACCAGCACATTTACAAATCAAGAATGGCAGAAAGTTTTACGGCATCGGTCTTCGATTTTGTCTATTGATGAATATGACGCACAAAGTGAAATTGAACTTGCGTTCATGAAAATCGGAAAGGGTACTGCCTTTTCATCAAACTGAAAAAATGGCCGCGTCACTCTTGTAACTGCGTACCCCCCATACTCTCATACATTTGATGTTTTTAGTCGCTGTATCTGCTCAAATAACATCCATCATGATATAATAAATCATTATATACTAAAATTCGCAAATTTGCAGAATTTCCAATGAAATATTACCAGTTGTTTTTTGGGACAGAATACGTTATTGCAATATGCAAATTAGGCTACTCACCCAAGTCAAATATTTGTTAAGAAACTTTAAGGACTCTAAATTATAAATTAACAAGCCATGCATGGCACAGTCCCCGTTAGTTATCAAATTTAAGATAAATAGTTTTGTTTATAGTAATATGGCTGGAATATAACCATGTCAGGAATATGATTTTTTAACATTAAAATTTACATTTGTATCTGATCGTCAAACAAGTACTTGTCCATATTGAGAGATATTGCTCTGGAACAGCATTCAAAATCAGCCATTTTGAATACATGTATACAAATGTATATATAACGTGATGTAATTTGAATATAATCAGTCAAAACAAGTCGGAGATATGGGTCTAGAAGCCCATTCATTAAAACAAAATGACCGCCAGACAGCCATTTTGAATCCAATCTGAAAAATAAATGATGTGCATTAGGAACCTGTAATGTCTAATATATGTACCAAGTTTGAACGAAATCCATCCATCAATGCCAGAAATGCTTGATATTTGATGATTTGTTAGCATAAAAATGGCCACCATTTGGCCATTTTGAATAGGATCGTCAAACCAATATATCTGTCTATCTATGACATGATGTATAATGAATATTTAAAATTTGAACATAATCAGTGAAAGCAAGTCAGAGATATGGCACAAGAACCACATTCATTAAAACAAAATGGCCGCCAGTCAGCCATTTTGAATCTTATCTGAAAAACAAAATTATTTGCATCAAGGTCCTATAATGTCTAATGTATAAACCAAGTTTGAACAAAATCCATCTGTAAATAGCCAAGAAATGCTTGATTTTTAGGATTTTTTAACACAAAAATGACCGCCATTCGGCCATCTTGAATCAGATTGTAAAACGAAATGATGTGCATCAAGGTCTCATAATGTCTAATGTATATACAAAGTTTGAACAAAATCCATCTGTAAACAGCCGAGAAATGCTTGATTTTTAGGATTTTTTAACACAAAAATGACCGCCATTCGGCCATCTTGAATCAGATTGTAAAACAAAATGATGTGCATCAAGGTCTTATAATGTCTAATGTATATACAAAGTTTGAACAAAATCCATCTGTAAACAGCCGAGAAATGCTTGATTTTGATGATTTTTAGCACAAAAATGGCCGCCATCTTGAATCAGATCATGAAACAAATTGACGTGCATATGTATGATATCATGTATGATGTATGTGTGAAGTTTGATTGAGATTGGTTCAGGCATTTCTAAGATACAGATACTGCATCCAAACTAATTAATGCAATAATTAACTAATTAATATGCATGGAATTGCACCAAAATCTAATCAGCGCATCTACTCATCATATATTAGCTGTGTGCCAAATTTCATTTGAATTGAAATTGTAGATCTTGAGTTATCAGTGGAACAAATTTTAGTCAGAGTCACAGAGTCACAGACACCGGTACCACATAAGCTCCGTTTCACAGGAGCTAAAACTTATATTGAACTGGGTTTGTGTC